GGCTGCCTGTCAGGCCAGGACCCGAAAGGACCGGCTCCGCAGGGCACCGCGTTGCCCACCGCCGCCGTCGCCGCCATCTTTCCCACCGCCGCGCTCCCTTCCGGGCAGAGGCACGCCTCACTTCCGATGTGCTACTTCCGGTGAGCCCTGGTTGCAGCCAGCGCCCGCTGAGACCAGGAAGGGTCTAGGCAACCGTACGGGCTGGGTCCGGAAGTGGCTACACTGGGCGCCGCCATCATAGGCTGCAACCGGAAAAAGAGACAGGGCGCCGCCATGACAGAGAAAGCCTGAGAGGCCTAAAGGTGCCTGTCGGTGCTGCCACGCCGACCTGAGACCGGAAAAGACGAGGATTGCTTGCAGGGCTTAGCGCCACCTTGACAACCTGAACCGGAAGAGGTGAGTCCTCCTCTGGAAGTACCCCGGCACCGACGTTTCCAAGGGGCGGAGCCTGTAGGCTGAGGAGGGAGGGCCGGTCAACGAAGCGCTGGCGCCAGGGGGTGGGGCCTGAGTACAGGGGCGGGGCCTGGCTATGGGGCGGGGCCAGGGATGAGGGCGTGGCTTGTGAGGGGCGGGGTCTTGAGCCGAGGTAGGCTTGACAGGGCTGAGAGCCTCGCTAGGCAACAGCCATACCGTGATAGACAGTAATTAACACGCTAAACGAAAACTTGATTATCTTATTTGCAATGCTATATTATTTTATATTGCTTAACGGTACTGGGTAAATGCCATATTTGAATGAGACCACGTTAGTCTCTTGATGCCAGTTAGCAGTAGTGGATACTGAATATGTGTTAAAGATAGGTGTGGGGGGAAAAATAGTATTTATTTATTTTTTTTTGAGAGTTTTTTTGCGCGTGTGCTCGCCAGGAAGACAGAGAGACAGAGGGATAGAAAGTGAGAAATCACCCCCCGGGGGGAGGGGTGAGAATGGCCACACTGCAATCCCTTCTCCTCCTTTCTCTTCTCAGGATCTTGGGCACGCACGCACACGCGCCCGGTGTGTTTAAGCCACCGGGTCTGCGACTCGAATCGCGGTTGACTACATGGGAGTCCAGCGACATGGCCATTATGCTAACTGCCGGTCCCGAAAAAATAGTATTTTATAATGTTTTTTGTCCTTGAATAGAGCTTTTTTTTTTTTTTTTTAAAAGAAGTT